TGTTGGAGTCCTTTCTGCAAGACGACTTTTCAATGATACCATACGGAGGGGGGAGGGGGCTACGGGGTTCCAGACATGATACGCCAATGAAGGATACCCCTCTTGCTGTAGAGATTGTAATATTAAAAAAATGAAAACTAAAGTGCTGAAAAATATTATTAGCAAAGCTTCGGCATCATTGGACGAGATAGCAAAAGCGGGTAAGGTAATCAGCAGCCAACGCGACGAGTTCATTTGTATGAGAGAGACGGAAGGAATGGAAAAAAGTGATAGTGAATAAAAATCTGAGTGGAGACCGGTGAGTAGTGTGGCGATGGCAAATTGGCGATCGGCGGACAAAGACAAAGGTGACAGTGAAGACCTAGATAGACAATCGACAACAAGGAAAACTAGGTAAATGAAGAGAGACCGATGAGCGGGGGAGGGGGGCTGAGCGCGCGCCGTAGAATTCCTTGCCCGAAAAAGATGTGTGATGTTTGCCAATTAGGTTTTGGTTGACGCGATAACCAGTTTCAAGCAAATAATAGTCAAAATGTACGCTGGACCGATTGTGAGGTGAACCCCGAGGAGGGAAGTCAGAGAGAGATAAGAGAGAAGAAACTCGGCCGACGGGCGGCGACCGGTGCGGTGGCGCAGCGCCACGCCAAGCGAAGTAGATAGGCACGTTGCACGTAACGCAGTGGTGGCGATCGACAGGCAAAGGCGACGGCTAAGAAACAGATGACATTCGATCGAAAAGGTATCCGAGATCGAGGAAAAACAAGAGCAATATGAGGGGGAAAAGTGAGTGAAGAGATGCCGGCGAACGTGGAGGCGTGGACTGGGAGTAGAGCGGAGGATCAGGTGCGAGGGAACGAGCGAGAACGAAGAATGGGTCACAAAATGCCTTGCCCGAAAGATAAGATGTGAATGAGGCGTCACTTAGGTTTCAGTTGACGCGAGGAGGCTGCTGTTACTCATAAGTCATAACACGACCGATTGAAAGCAAACGGTCAAAAAGGTCTAAAATGTGCGCGGGCTGAATGTGAGGCAGCCTCCGGGTAGGGAAGCCAGAGGGAGATAAAAAACGCGGTCGACGGCCGGCGCGAAGCAGCGCAGCTCAGCGATACGCAACCGACGCAACGGAGTATGGCATTGATATGCAATCAAAAGCATCTTACATCCATCGAAAGTACTTTCAACCGATAAGGGATCAAAGATTCCCGAGAAAGTTACAAAACGGGTAGAAGGGTTCCTGTTTTTTTTCGAGCATTCCCCGTTTTGGCTTTTTTAATATACAAGTAGGTAATCACCGCGTAAAAATATGTGGAACCTGGTCTTGTTCCTTCCAAAAAAATTTTACTGGGAAGACTTTAGCCAGGGATCCCTTATTCCGTGAACTTTCTTCGGAAGACGATTTAGAGCTTTCATCAGCGGTGCATGAAACTCCCACGGGAATCCTAATGAGATTGCTCGAATCGAAAAGATGTAATTGGTTCAAAATAAAAAATAAAAAAAAAATTAATTTTTTTTTTTATAACTTTAGTTTTTAAGATAAGCTTTATTCGAACATTAACTCCCCGTAATTAATGCCCCGTAGTACATTTTTACTTAATAAAAATAAAAAATAAAAATAAAAAAAAAATAAAAAATTCAAAACGGATTTCGATCGAGCAGATTTCGATCGAAATAGGCTTTCGAAACGATTTTTTCGAAGTGAACGATTACGAAATGATCGCTCGATCGTTTCGTACGAACCAACGAGCGATTTCATCGGTTCGGGGACAGCCCTACACGCGCCAGAAAATGACGATATTATCAATTAATAAAGTTAAACGATATTGTTTTTTAGCGTTACACTTCTTTGTCCTTATTTGAAATATCATCGAGAACATTCATGAGGTGTCATCAAAAATTCATAGGGGTCAAAAAGGTACTTTTTTGTCTTTTGAATGTCGTGTAAGGGTTTGTCACCTTTGTAATGGATTTGCAGTCGGAAAAATTACGTACCAGGTTAGGCCTGGGGGCGTTTCCTCAAAGAATTTAAAAAAAAAATAATGTTCCTTTTGAGTATAAATTCGACCTATTTTTTGTCGAACGTTTCACCCTTAACCGTTCCTTTAAGTGGAACTATAAAGAATTCTTCAAACACTTTCTTTTTTCCTCCCTCCAAAAGCCACCCTGAGGCAACTGCCTGGATTATCTGACCTGTAAATCTAGGCATGCTACACATTTGTCTTAAAATCAAACCCTGCCCACGTACTAGGCGGCAAAGCAAGGGAAAAATTTCTCGTTTGAATAATTTCAAGCCTTTCTCTGGACGAATGGTCTTAAAATTAGGCTTTTTCTAGTACTTTTGATGGTGATCATGAATTTTGTACCACGAAACAGTGAGATGTGTAATAATGGGATTTTCGACGGATTCACGAAGATTAGTACACAAAAACGCGATCAACCTAAAGCGCAAACCCTTAAAGCATATATAAATCTCAAAAGTGAGAAATGCATAATCCAAACTTTCAAAGGAAAAATGTCGAGACTTACACCTTACCTAGACGCTAGGAGTTTTAGACCGGCACCCCTCGAATACTTTGTCAACGATTCGTTTTTTCACGGACCCGATCTGCTGGTACCCTAAATCGACAACGCTGAAGCAATCGATGACGTGATGCATTTTTTTTTTTGCTTCTTCTCCTTCTATACCAAGCTTTAGATCCTTCCTCACCTCTGAACTTATTGGAGTTGGATGTGTATTTCGAACGACATTTTTTTTCAACGAATCGGCAAAAACAAGCGTACTTATTGGGATGTGTGCGCAATTACTTTTCCCTTAGGTATTCATGAAACGACTCTACCACATATTTGAGGTTTTTCGGTCATTACGTGTACGGACCGCAGCCCACATTTCAGTAGGAGGCAAGCAGAAACCATAATTTTCACAAAAATATTTACTAAACTTTAATATGATACAGTTTTGCTAATGAAACTTGGAAATATTTTCGTGTATTTCGGATTGTGATTTTTAAGATTTTATGTCTCAGTTCAAATTTTTAAAGACGAGTCGCTATTGTTCTTGTTCAAAATTCTGTGCGATTTATCAGGATTTTCCTTTGAAAATTTTGCACGTTACGGTCAAAAATGCACCCCCCCCCCAAAAAAAAAGAAAATGAAAAAGGAACAATGCAAAGAAGGGACGACTCGTTAAAATAAGCTCTAAAAACCATGCTCAGATCAGACGCCTAAATATCTTGCAATTCTGAGGACCGGCAATGTTGTAACATACATTCAAACAGCTAATGAATTTTTCGGAAAATTGACAATGTCGTGATAAAAAGCAGTGATAGATTACTTCATCGGCACAGTAGGGTACGCATTAGTTAACATGTGAGAAAAAGAAGCAAAGTGCCACCAGTCAATAGCCTGCGACAAACACTAAACCGTATTTTATTATAACGCCTGGATGCAACTATTCGGGCTACACGGATGTCCGTGTTGCATACCTACGGAAGAGAAGGCGTTTTGACTCTCCAGACTTCATCACTTCACCCGCAGCGCGGTAGCATACGTTGAGTTGCACTGCGAGGAACCAAAAAGACAGAGCATCTTCTTCATTTCTTCCTTTATATTACGGAGACATCTCTCAGGCACGAACCGAACAGTCTCCAAATTATGCCCAACGCAATGAGATATCAAACCTGAAGCACGAAAGATACTCACGCCTATGTGCAAATATCCCTTTGTAAAGTAACTTCATCAGACATATGCAGACAACAACTGTTGTTGTCTGCATATGTCTGTGAAAAGCGCTCAGTCTTTTTAAATCCGCTCAGTTCTGTCCGAGGCGTTCCGCCTTCGCCGCGCTGCGCGGTTGAAGTGCCGGAAAAGTCAAAACGCCTTCACATCCGAGCGTATGCAACACGGCCATCCGTGGAGCTCGAATAGTTGCATCCACGCGTTTGAATTGGATTCGTTTAGTGTACGTCGCGTCGCATGCGATTAACCGAGGGCGGCGCTTTGTCTTTTCTTTTGCACCCTAACTTAATTCCAACGTTGCCTATTGTGCCGATGAAGTGAACTATTTCTGATTTACATTGCGAAATGCTCAATCTTCCGAAAAATACTTTGATTTTTTAATGTATTACTATGCCGCATATGAGAAGAATGCCGACTGGGGCAGAGTCGTTTCACGCTTGTGCACTTCGGAAAAACATTTTTAAGCGCGTGAAATACCTTTCGTCTGTAAGGTTGTATCTCAATTAACTCTTCGATTATAAAAGCTCGAAACTGCTTTAGTGACGACTCATTTTTCATTTTTTCCCCCAAGTAGCTACTTGGATCCCTTAGGAATCAAGAAACCCCTCCGAACTTCCATTTGAAGCTAGATTGGAGTCCTTTTGACGCCCTTCGATGCGGTGCCTTCTAGTGCCCCCCTCCTCCCCCTCATTAGGTGCCTTCCAGGCTTCCAGGAAAAAAATTTAGTTCTTTTCAAGTAGATCGGGCCCCTATTTTAGAAAAGTGAAATGAGACAGGAGATTTGCAACATCGCAGACGGAGACATGAGGTTTGATACATTTACTACCGATGTGATAGCAGTGCGTCATGACCTCATTATTTTTGCTGGCAAAGAAAATGATTTAAAATAAACCTTTCCAAAAAGTACCATTGGATAGTTAATTGCTCACCAACAGTAACAGTCCAATGCAGCGTTCTTCGCTCAATGCATTTTTCCATTTTTCCGAAAAGACGAGGNGGGGGGGGGGAGGTGATGCGAATAGCTCGACGAAGTAAATGCATTGGGTACATTCACAAGAATTGTACTTATATATTTTTCATTTCTTTGTTATTAATTTTCCTAAAAATAATTTCAAATTTTTTTCATTTTTTTTTAAAAATTTATTATTAATTTGCCGTTTTTTGAAAATTATTAGAATAAATTTTTAAAATTAAAAAATTCTAAATAATTACGTGAAAGAATGTTACTAATGTTGTCGTTCAATGTATAATATCATAATATTACTAGACTTTTCGTGCGGAGGTACGGCAACATTGTGGGAATGTGGCAACATTCACCAATCTTTTATTTTGACAACATAACCTCATTCTTCCCGTCCTCTCCTTTTTGTGTTTTGAAGGTTTTGAAGTTTTGATAGTTTTGTTTTGTGTCGCTGTTTTTGTCTTATAAAAAGTAGTTAAGACTTTTAACCGTTAATTTTAATGCAACGAATTCATTCTACGTGCATATTTCTTCTACTTTCTTTTTTTTTCTTTTTCATTTTTTGTTGAATTTTTTGCGTGTTTCCAATCGCTGTCCAGATCAACATTATCTAAGCGATGATGATCTCAAGGCAGACTTTTTAGGTTCCATAGTTGAATCGGCACTTAATTCCTTCTGACTATGACCGACGTATACAGTTATTATTGTTGCTTCGTGCCCAGCTGTGCAAACACCAGTAGCACAGCACCTGGCAAAATTTTTATCACTGTTCCGAAGAAGGAAGAGCAAAGAAAAGCTTGGAGCGAAGCTGCAAGATTGCATAAACCTTTATCTGAAAAATGCAACTACTACTGCTGCGATGATCACTTCAATGTATGTATAAAATGTTATTCACCATATTTCACTTTGTATAATTATTTAAGTCTTCCTTAGGGAAAGTAAATCAATAGGACGTAGGTATCTAGATCAAGATGAATCTACATAAGGGAAGGAGTCCATCAACTCAGGGCGTTACAGAAGAAAACAGGGATGGAGTTTAGAATATTTCCTGCTCCAGCTATTAGTCATAAACAGAACTTAACATTGGAGGGGAATCGCGCTTTTGCTGAGCTATCATCAGAGTGCTGTACAGATCTGTTAAGGAATGGGCCGGGCCGTGTCCTAAACCAAGTATTGCGAAAGAGGGGAGTACAAAAGCGTATGACTTGAACCGTACGTTTAATACCAAATGAGTCAGATGCACTGCTCATAGAATTGTGTTTTGATGCTTGATTCTTTCAGCAACTTTCTACGTTCAATATTAGCCGAGATATCGCCCTTTGAAAAGTTGGGTTTTTGACGTCATCCACCGCAGTAATGACACCCTTGGTTTCTTCCACCTTGCTTACATCAGTCAAGAAAGCGAGGTGGAAGAAACCAAGGATGTCACTACCACCGTGGATGAAGTCACAAACCGAATTTTTTAATGAACAAAATATCGGGTAATATTGAACTTAGAAAGTTCCTGTTGTGACGGATCTTAATATTTTTAGCTGATTGACATGAATAAAACATCAAAACAGGATTCTGAGATCAGTGCAACTGACCCATTGAAAAAGGATGGAGTTGCAGAGTCATGCTGAGATGAGAAACTTGAAACAGTCAGAGACATTCGAAGATTTTCAACCCTTTACAGATAAGCTTCTTTCTTATGGTTCAATTCTTGCATAGAACAAATGAAACAAAATTACAGAAGGAAGGATTGTGGCTGCATAGCAGCCTAGAGCAAACCTTCATTAGGGCAAGAAGTGAAACAAAATGTTTACATTTCAATTTGTACCCCTTCCTCTTGGTTTTCAATAGAAAGTTATAATGTAATTTTATCCTTACTAACATGATCTTCTGACATTATTGTTTAATGTTTCAGCTTGCTGAAGATGTAGCAAATTGGAGCCAATATATATTTTTCAAACAGCAAGGATTAAGGCTAAGAATAAGATTGAAGCCAAATGTTGTGCCTCACATTTTTCGGCATCAGTTTCTACCCAAGGAGGTATGTTAAAAAATGTTCACATCTAGCAGTATTATTGAAAAAGCCAAGTGGCAGATCTTGAAAGAAGTTAAACTAACAAAAGTTCAATTGATCCAAGTTAAAAATCACATCTAATCCTAAATCACTATACCTATAGTCCAACATGAAACCTGCTTGCCTTGGTTTATTAGGAAGAGGGATGTATGGATCTTGTTTTAACAGCAAGTGGTACAAAACAATGGCTAATACCAAAAAATGCCTACCTTATTGAATCGATTCAGAATCTTAAATGACGGTTCATTTTCTAAAAGAGTACTAAGTAAGTATCCAAAATATCTTTTTAAAATTTTCTGCAGCAAAGATCTGCAACATTGCAATTGGTGGTACGCATTTTTCGACTTCAGCCTTTAAAAAACAGGGGTGAGACACTTTGCCTATAGTTAAGAATATTTTTATACACTTTCAATGGCTTAAATGAAAATGTCGGTTTTCAGTGGCTACATTCAAACACAAACAAACATTTTGACATTCTGTCATACAGTCAGGTGTGATTTGATAGTTTAATCAATTTTAACGCAGTTCATTTGTTCTTGAAGTGGGGAGAATCACCTGCCTGACATTAGTCAAATCATTGATGGAACCTGTCTCTCTTGCTTACCTTAAACAAAATGGACATGGGTACAGATGAAAGAAAGGCGTTCAATTATTTCTCTTAAATAAGTCAAAGAAAATTCCTTCATGGAATATTTTTATAACTATTTTTGAAGTCTTTGCTTGTCAAATCAAAGTAGTTGCTTTGTTTAATTGATATTTTCTAGAGTCTTTTAAAAGCGTCCCTATTAACTTTTCGCTAATTGGTTTGTGTCTTTTTTCAGTCTCCCCTCATTGCAGGTGTCAATGAAGCACGCCAATGTTTTGACAATGCACCTTCGGTATGAGTCTTATTTTTATTTTTTAATATTTATTTTAGAAAGAAGCAGAAAAAAAACCCGGGAAGAATAGATTTCATACTGGTATAAATTCCTCGTGTTGGAAAAAGTATAACAAGTTGGTTTCACAGTTGGGAGATTTTGGGCCACAAATCAAAACAAACTGTGTACTATCTTTATTTCCTATATTATAAAACACCACTCTTTCTTGTCATGGAAGAGAGCCATAAGAGCCACCGTTAGCGACCATTATTTTCTGTAACTTGGCAGCGCTAGACAGAATATAAAATTAAGCACCAAAATATATATTTCATAATGAATATTTTTCAAGAAATATGATGGGAAAATGTCTCAATGGATCAGTAGCACCCACTCTTTGTTATTCATCCTCTGAACCTACAGAGTGAAGAAAGCTCCCAAGAATTTTTTCAGATTTTTTAAAATCCTAAATGGCATAGAAACCCCCTTTTGTGAATGCGAAAAATGGCGGGTCCTGATGACGTAGCCAGGCAGGAAAACGGCATTTGCTGATCAGATGAACTCATATTCAGGCAGTGCCTTGCTACTTCAACTCGACAGTTGACTTTTGATTGATAGAATTTGGATCACTTTTTCTCCCCTTAGATATTATTTTTTGAACTTATATAAAGAACTTCATGGTTTCTTACAAAATTTTACATTCAAGTACCTAGACTACAACCCAACAGAAATTCTTTGCCACTTATACATTTTGATATTTTTCTGTCACAGTTACGAGGGTCAGAATTCTATTTTCCGCCTTACGCACCAGCTCCGCATCAGGTCTATAGAGAGAAACAAAAATTGAATTTTTTGCCACTTATCCATTTTGATATTTTTCTGTCACAGTTACAAGAGTCAGAATTCTATTTTCCGCCTTGCTCACCAGCTCCGCATCAGGTCTACAGAGAGAAACAAAAATTGAATTTTTCACTCTTAATCACCGAATGAAGCCTAGTAAACAAGTTGCTTGCTTCTTATAATGTTCTTTATTTGCATGTTTCAGATCTCTCGTATCATAAATCATGAGAGTGTGAGAGTCAAAAATGAAGCTTCAGCAATTACTGAAGATTCCTGTTCTGAAAACGATACAAATGATGCTTCAGACCTGAATGAGGTACGTAACTGATTCTTGATTTTTTTTTCTTGCCTTTGCATGAAAGAAAAACTCCCAATAACATCCTTGAAAAGAAAGAGTTTCCAGCTGTCCGGTAAATCTAGGAGGTCAACAAATTTTTAGGGTAATGGAAAGTTAGGGAATTCTTAGGAATTATCAGGGAATTTTGTGAATTGTCCATAGATTCAGCAGCTTCTCATGCCATTTTGTCGCTCCTTTGACGTGAGTGTTTATCTCTGTTTCCACATGAGCCCTGGGAAGCATAGAGGTATACGGAGAACAGGTCTCTCATGGAAATTGAGATATGCCCTTACATTAGAGGAGCAACGATTTGAGAGAGCATGAACAATTTTAAAGTGCTTTCTTCTTCAAATTGAATTTATAAACGTGGAGATTTTATCCAAAGTTTTGTCATAGTTACCATAATCAAAATAAAAATAAAAAATCCAAGTGGAGGTTTTGATAGAAGATCTGGGAAAAGCAAAATGAAGTCGGGAAAAGTCAAATCAAAGAAATAATCACCATCAGGTAATCACCAAATCAAAGATATGATGGAAACACTGAAGTAAGTTGCTCACAAATTATGTTTTTTATTTGTATTTTCAGGTTTCCTCAGCCAACATTAAGGAGGAGGAAGAGAGTGTTGAGGCTAATCCTGTGACCGAATCAACAACAGGAGATTCTGCTGTTGAAAATGATACAAATATCATGTCAGACTTTAACAAGGTAGGGAACTAGAACTTTATTTTCTTTTGCGTGCCTCTGAATTGAAGATTACTTCCAAATTTGAAGTCCAGGCACTTGATCTTTAACGTAAAATTTTACATAATAAGTCGTTTGTAAAGAACAAAATATGGCAAGGGGAGGGAGGATCTAGGAGAGCATTATGCCATTTTGTTTTCACATGTCAAAAGATTAGCGGGGGATGTCAAAAGATGAAAAGGGGAGGGGGGGGGGTTGAAAAAATTGAAATTCCGAATAAAAAATTTCATGAACTAAAGAGAGGTTCTGTCAGTTGTTGATACACAAAGGTACAGCAAAGATTCTTATAACCAGGTACAAAAGAGAAAAAAATATTTGAGAATAATTTTAAGAGAAAAATTTCAAGCAAGTAGAATTGTTCACAAGTTATCATTTTTAATGTGAATTAGTTTCAGTATTAATATGTAAATCACAATGGATAAATTTTAAGTAATTGCATTGTCCAGGTTTTGCATTCCTTCTTCTTATTATCATTTAATATGATTCATTTTCTTCATACAGTGTAAAAAAGTTGTGCTTGGTAATGTATGCAAATTCATCAGTAGGCTTAAGTTCTCACGTGTTTATTTATATATAAGTAGAGGTCGCTTTATAGCACTCCTTGGCGCTCTACAACCCCTAACATCCACTGCCACCTGTCAAACCATAACCCATTGGGCATCGAACACCTTAACATCTTCTTCAATCCCATCCCTCCAACCTTTCATTGGGCGCCCTCTGCGCCTTCTCCCAGGAAGAACCTAATCAAAGATCTTCTTTGGCAACCTGTCTCCTTTCATTTTCTGAATTTGATCCTACCAAATAAGTTGTTTCGCCAAATGTCATGCATGATGGTCTGTTTGGCACCAATGATCTTCTGTACCATCTCATTCCTGACACAATCTTTTCTGGAAAGATCAGCGGATCTACGCCAAAAGTCCATCTCTGTCACCTCTAAATCCTCTCGGGTCCGCTGTTTCATACATCAAAACTGTAGGTTACTATACTCTTGACAATTACGTTGTAAATCCTTCTTTTGTTCTCTTTGGGGATCCTTTGGTCCCAAAGTCTGTATTTTATCCTGCATTTATTATCTGTTTGATTGATTTCAGACTTCCTGCTCTTCAACTGTGAAGAAAAAAATGGTGATAGTCCGGATGAAGCCAGGAGAAAATAAAGTCTTAGATCAATATTCGGGAGTAAATGAGCAACCAAAAACCAAGAAACGGAAAATGCGAGGCGCAACTTGATTTCGATGTTAATAAACAAACTTTAATGTTGAAAAAATTAATATCAAAAGAGGCATCGATTTCCAGAGCACCTGTAACTCAGATTGATTTGATACCAACATAGCTATCAAGATTTAGCTATTTTGGGTATGGAGAAAGAAGAAAACCGATGATACGTGAAAATATCATAAGTTTGGTCTTTATTTTAGTTTTTGGAATGAGCCGTTATGAAAAGTTTTGAGATAGGAGGAGATGAGACACTATCATCTCTCTTGATCCCATATCCTGCTTTTTAGTCACATGCTCCCAAATAGTCTGATCTTACCTTTGAAAAGTTTAGGAAGACTATTCTGTAAAAACAACTTGTCATCAGTATTAATACTTTTTAAGTGAGTTGAAAATAAATGATTCTGCTCTGGTCCTTAAGCAGTAGCAGTCTTTCAGCAGTCCTTGTGCAATCAAAAGCATGATTGTGATGCTCAACATCTGTCTGATAATTTCTACATATCTTTATTAGTTGAATTGTTTCAATGTGTATGAACTCATACTATGTGTGCCATTAATTTATTAATTTCCTTTGAAACTGCTATGTAGGGAAAGAAGTTGGTATTCTAGTCAAATGAAATGGACCATGAAACTGCAGGAATGCTTATTTTGATTTTGAATGATTGAAATCGTGTACATGAAAAATATTTCTCGGTAAATGAAAAAATTTGTTGAGCAACTTTCTTGGGCCTAGTATTTTTCTTTTGTCTTCAATGGTTATAGCAATTTCAAACTTACGACTTCAAACTTTCAAACTTCAAACTTTCAATAGTTTTAGAGTATTGGATAAAAAAAATGGAAAAATCTGCATTAAAAATTTTGTGTGTGAAAAATACCTCCCAGTGAATATGCAATATTCACAGTTTCGATTTTGGTAATAATGTGATTTACCGCATTTTTCCCAAGAGTTTTCAATTATTTCATGTTTTTTCCTCCCTTAAAAGTCTTTTAGATGCTAGGTAGCATTTTAAATGGAAATTCAGGTGTTGGAAGTACCAAATTCTGTCTATCTTATTTATTTTGTGTAGCTTTCATTGTTTTAGTCTGTTACATGTATTTTATTAAACCACCCACGTCAGGAAAGGTGAATTTTTATTTGCTTAATTATTGAGCCTCTACTCCTGTTCCCCTTCTTATTCACTTACCTCTCTCGGTATTTTTTTATATTTTTGTAGGCATGATTGCATTTTAAAAAGTATCGCATCAATTCTATAGTATTCTAAATTAAATAATGTTTAGTTACTGAGTCTTAATAGATCCACCCAAGCACTGAGAAGAGAAAAGTATAGGAATTTATTAATGAAGTAGGTTAAGTAACGTTTAAAAATTAAAAATAAAGATCCAGATTTCAGTCTTATTTATTTAAGTTATTTCTGAGTATTCTCATTTTGTGCCGAAACAACACATCTTTGAAATCGCAAAAATGTTGCTTGACTTTTCCATTCAAGGTATCCTGTAATTGTCGGAGAGTTTCCCTTAAAATATTTCTTGGAAGTCTTCACCTCAAAATGAATAAATACATTAATAAAGAGTCAAAATACAGTAATAAAAGCAGTATCAACAGAAGAAGTCAAAGAGCGCGTCTAGATTAAGGTCTTAATTAGCTGAGAGTAGGTAAGTCGATTTTGAAACTGTAAATAGACACGAATTGATACCTCGATTGCAAAGTCGGACAATTTCGATAGAACTTCAGGCCACCTCGGCTATATTGGATTTCAAATTTTGAAAATTAGACTTTTACTCTGAAACTCCCCCCTGGCACAAAGTTTCATTAAATCAATAGATCATCAGCCTGAATGTTGTTTAAGTCGGCACGAGAAGAATCGAAAATCGATTTATTACATGACGTAGATAGGGCTCACTGGAAAAAAAAACACATTGGATCTAGAGTCCAGACTCTTAAAAACATCAACAAGAAAAAGTACTCTTGATTCAATCAGAATCTAGCTTAAATCAAGAACCAAGCCTCTTAATTTAAGCGAATTTCATTTTGATTCAAGCAAAAATCCGATTGAATCAAGAGTATTTTTTCTTGTCAATATTCTAAAGNTTTTTTTTTTTTTTTTTTTTTTTCCAGTGCTTTGTCTTGTCTTATCTTGTCGACAAAGCAAGTTAAAGTTCCAGCAGTCAGACTGCAGGAGCCAAGATTGTATTGTAGGCAGCATCCACCCACTGTCTTGGATTTTAGAATTGCAAAAATTTTAATAATATAAAAATTCTAATATTTCAATAAATTTTGAGATTTTAAACTTCTTTTTTATTTTTAATTGGGTTGAAATTAAAGTTTTCCGTCAGAAAATGCCACCTGATTTCAAGTTCCACAAAAATCGATCGAACAAGAGCCGCATATCGTGCGATAAATACAGAAAACGATACCAGTCAATTATAGACGTAAGTGCGCCTTCATTTTTGTCTGATACTGTGCAATACTTCCGAGGTGGAATAGTTGCTCAAAGCGCCTCCCACAGTACTTATTGCATCCACTCTATGTTAGAGGATCGCGATTGCCGTTGATATTATACTCTAGTATGTGGGTAGTTCCACATTTTCTCATCGCTGACGGTAAGGTAAAAAACACCCATTCCTCAATTTGCGACGTAGCAAGTTTTTCACTACCTATTATTTGTGCAGGTAAACATTAAGTATGAACACAAAGTCTGTCGATATTTTTCCGAGATATGAACTAAATCATTAGGTATTTTAATGTTTCGTTCATGATGTCCATTTGGACCGCGTTAAACAGAAAGGAACCAACCCACATCAGATATTCCCAAATTTAACTGGGCAATTTAATTTTTCACATGAAAACGGTTGTGCGGATTTTCGTGCAAATTTCAGTGAAAATTCTCCATGGTGCGAAGCAAATTCCTTAAAATTTGCAAAGAAATCCGAACAAATGTTCTCTCGTAAAAATTTACTTCCCCAGTTAAACTTGGCAATAGCTGATGTGGCTTGGTTCCTTCCTGTTAAACTCGGTTCATTTGTAGGTACGCTATAGTTAACAATGAGGGAAAGAAGTATGAGCAGAAAATTCCAAACGAACAAAAGCAGATCCGAAATTTATTGACTTTGCTTCTAATCGCCCGTAGGTCAATCCTCCGATACTATTTTCAGACGCAAAAATTAAATTTGAGGAAACTTTCATTCATGGTGTCAATATTGATTGTTGATTCGCTGGCGACTGGACGCCATCTGCACCTTGTCAATGATCTTCGTTTGGATGCGTGTCCACCCGAAATATAAATGTTGCCGCCGCAAAGACGTGAATGCGGAACCATGAGAGCGGCTTGAGAAATTTGTGCAAATTCGCGAAATATTTCTCAATCAATGTCAAGAACTCCTCTTACCTAAAGTCGCAAGAAGTGTAAACTTCGGCTCTTCCCCGAAATGCGCACCGTTGCCTGCAAGTAGGTGGAATTACATAATTGGACGTATTTCTATCAAACAGAGCTTTGTGCATTAAGACATGAGCCCTGAGACCCATAAGGGCTCATGTCATATTGCACATAGTTCCGTTTGACAGAAATACGTCCAATTAAGCCAGCCAAAGTGGGAACCACCCACGGACGGAGCTTATTTTACCTTGAGTACCTCGAATGTTTCTTCTTAAAATTCTTGTCTTTGGATTTTTAAGTCCATGAATATTCTCGAATTTTGGAGAAAAGTCTGTAGGTATGGATGCGGACTACTGTTTGAAATGAGGAACTTTTACCCTTCAAAGGCCCATCAACGGTTGCCAGATTGTACGATAAAATGTGGAGATTAGACATGGGTTTAACGGGAAAATGCTGATTTTCAACACTGTCTGGCAACAATGGAATCACATATCCGTATTGAGATAATAATGGCGCTTATTTTGTCTCTAGATTGAGTCTGAATGTGTGCTCTAAATGCAAAATGTGGTTCAAATGTACTTCAAAGTTACCTACTGTATTTTACAGAACCGGATTTACCTACTTGTCGCCCATGGGCCTCCTGTATTTTGCCGCCCCTTTCTCATTCATTTTGAAATGAATAAAAACCATCAAGTGAACGTGCCGGATGGGGAGGGGAGGGGAGGGTTAAATAAGATGCGTTTACTCGTGTTGCACACATTTTTTGCGAAAGTCCTGTCAACACTACTAGCAAAAGTTCACGGAACTTAGCGCGAAAGTTAAGTTCCGTAAACGTATCTCTGTGTGAACAAGGCCTTCCATTTGTAAGAAATAAACGTAAAAATTATGCAAGAACAAACATGAATGTGGTTTAATAATAATTTTAACCTCCGCCGCGGCGCCGCGCTGACCGAACTGTGTTTGACGCAATGCGTGAAGTATTCCTACAGTCTTGTAGGCGCTATGTATTTCACGCCGACCGCCCCTGAACGCATACTGTGTTTGACGCAATGCGTGAAGTTTTCATGAAGTCTAGTAGGCGCCATGCGTTTCACGTCAACCGCTGCGCTGCTGACCGCACTGTATTCGACGCAATGCGTGAAGCATTCATGCAGTCTTGCAGGTGCTAATATGTGTTACATGCCAACCGCCGCGCCGCGCTGAGGACTTCTCCTTTTCATCTCAAGTCCTCATCAGCGACAAAAGCGACAAAATTTGCTGCTCTCTTGACGTTGGCTTGAGGATCACATTGAGATAAAAAGAAAAATGGGTGGAAGTCTTCTTTCTCCCTAAACAGCAAGGTTATACTCACAAATAAGTTTGATTCCCTACTTTCTCAATTTTTTTTACAACCTCAATTTTTCGACAGGAAAAAAGGCTTGACTATAATAAAGTTCAAAACGTCACCTAGATCATTATTCCTCAAAATATGAAGGCGGTGAAATACGGTGAAAGCGGATGGTCGTAATAGACAAAGGAGGTAAGTAGTGGACTAACTAACGGCATCCTTTGAGAGTTCCTATATTCGTCCAACATTTCTTTTCTTAGTCTATAGCAACCACTATAGTGGCGAGGAGCTTACGATCGACTATCGATATTCCCTCTTTTAAAGCTGTGGTAAAGAATCGATTATCATGGTGTCCGTTGGCATTACCCTGTTTATCGATCCTTTTCCATAAGTTTGAATGGCAGATCAATCGATATATTGTAAAGCACCCCACACCACTGGCAACCACCCGTTTCAAACAAAAGTATCGCTACGTTGTCCCCTCGCTGAGAAAAAAAAGAAGCAGAGCACCAGAATCTGGACCTTAGCACATGCGGTGGATGATGATTTTTTATTACCTTTCCGATCCGGACTTGGGCCGGCGACTGTCCTCACCACATTCTTTTTGTACTTTCCCACATTCTTCCTTTACTAAACGACATGCTTTCCTACACTCCACCACATCCGGCAGAAGCTAAAGCAAAGTTGATTTTTTTCTCTCTGTGATTTTTCTTTTTTGTCCAGGGCTTAATCTATCAGTTTCAATAATCTGTCCGCAGTTGGACAGCGTTAAACAGAAAGGAACCAAGCCACATCAGCTATTGCCGAATTTAATTGGGCCATTTAATTTTTTACATGAAAACGGTTGTGCGGATATTCGTGCAAATTTCAGTAAACTTTTTGAATAATAGGAGGCAAACTCTGTCAAATTTTCAAAGGAATCCGCGCGAACGTCCTCTCGTAAAAAATCAAATTGCCCATTTAAATTTGGCAATAGCTGATGTGGCTTGGTCCCTTTCTGTTAAACTCGGTCCAGTTGATCTCTGTTAAATTCGGTGCAAATGAGGGTTTTTTTTCACACAACTCCTCAATTTCTAACAAGCTCTCGGCATGGATCGGCAACGCTGCCGCCTGAGCAGAAGCTCGCCGAATTCGGGTCAGTCCAAAGAGCGACGCGGGGCCGGCATTCGCGAGATGGTTTTCGGATTTTCCGCCGCGTAGGCGATTTTCAAAAAGCGCGGAGCCCCCGTCCGAGCGCCGGCTGGAGCCGAGTTAGTCGGAACCCGAGCGCAGTGTCAACAACAGCGTGATTCCTTTCCCAGCTCAGCAGTTTTCCGCTTTTCAGAATTCGTCGCTTTCCGTCCCGAGTTCCTCCTTTCCTTCGTGTCGTTCAACTCCGCGGGATCGTCGACCATCCAGTCTTCCTTCCGGCATGCTCTCCGCGCTTTAAATGTGATCCCTGATCCCTTCTCCAGCGTCGCGTCGCCCGGATACCCCGATTTTCGAGCCCCCCTCAGTTTCCTGTCCAGCGTTCAAGTCTCCAGTACCCATGCACGCGAGACTCCTTCTTCTGGCCGTCTGCTGTCTTGTCGTCGCTGGATTCCGCAGAGGTTAGTTGGTCGTATGCAGAGAGCATTGGCGGATCCGGCGAGTGGGCAACATTGTTTTCCTCCATTTAAACCTATGGAAATGTATCGATTCTTTAAGGGGTCGGATGCTCCGACAAGAATCGGTTATTTAATATAGGTTTAAATGGAGGAAATCCGGTGTTGCCAAGTTGCTGGATCCGCCTCTGGTAGAGAGAAGTATTAAGAAGCTCCGATCTGCGGGCTGATTTTTGAAAATTATAGACAAAGCGATAGACAAAAAAGACAAAAAGGGTATGGAGGGATCCTATTGGTGGAAGCGGGTGGTTGCAATGGACAAAGGACGTAGGCAATAGACTTACTAGCGGCAACCTACGAGAGACTAAATAGTAAGTCCATCATTTACCTCCTTAGTCTGTAAGAACCACCCATTTCAACCAATAGGATCGCTCCATATCCCCTATGTCTCCTGTGTCAATGGCTTTGTCTATCAATTTCAACAATCAGCCCGCTGATAGCCTTTTATGGTGTGATTGGTGTAAATTATTTCGGAGAATTCTCTTCCATGAATGCATTTTATGTATACGTCGCATGGAATGAGTTAAATCAGGTATTTTATCAAACGCCTAAGCAGTTAGTTTAATTGTGAAAAACGTTTCAAATTTGGACGTACCTCTACGAAGCAGAATCATGTGAGGGTGGGTAAGATGGGGTGTGCTCGTGGTGAGCTGAATGAGAAACAATGTAAAAATGGGCTTGATTCCTTTTGGAAATAAGGGAATTTAAATTCACCAAACGGAACTGTGTGCGAACTGTATGTGGGACTCTTGAGCCGTGGGCAATTGGGCATAGCAAAAGAGCCTTGTGAACAGGGCTCATGAGTTAAGGCGGATGACGGGCGAAGGCGGCGGCGGCTACGTCACTGGCGCTTTATAATTCCCATTCATTCTTACCGCCCGAGAACTAACGAGCACACTCCATATTTCCCACCCGCACATACTTTTGTTCGGTAAAAATACGTGCAAATAATCCACCGGAAGCTTGAAATGTTGTGAGTCAACGTCACCGAAACGAAGTCTTAAAATTCAATTAAATGACGTAATCAATAGGGTTATGTCACATAACCCTCCATGTGTAAAAATTACTTCCGAACCCCAAGATGAAATTCGTATTTTGTGCTCAATTACGATTGGAAGGAAAAGTAGTATGTACTCTATTTGGACGTTTTTCTACCGAACAGAATTATGCGCAGGTAAAAAAATATAGGGTGTGCCCGTTATTTCTCGGGTGGTAAGAATGAATGGGAATTATAAAGCGCCAGTGACGTAAGCGGGAGCGAAGCCGCCACCGCGCCGCGGTCCTCCATGGTGGTCTTTAACTCATGAGCCCTGTCCACAAGGCTCTTTTGCCATGCCCACGGCTCATGAGTTCTGCGCACAGTTGGCACATATTTCCGTTTGGTGAATTTAAATTCCTTTTTTTCCAATTCTTCAAAAGGAACCAAGCCCACTTTTACATTGTTTCTTATCCAGCTCACCATGAGCTCGAGCATACCCCATCTTTCCCACCCGCACATAATTCTGTTCCGTAAAAATACGTCCAAATCATGAAAAGGTCCTCCTCTATTACTAGTAAAATTATCTGCATAAAAATGAATCGATACACATGATAAAGTTTTCCCTCTTTATGAGCAGAAAAGTGCTTTTTCAACACTTGAAGTCTTTGCATTGAATGCATGAAAAGTTGCCAGAGGATTCTCACTCCGGATTCTTGGGGGAAAAGAAATATTTAAGCGAAAATTTTCAAAACCCGCAATCAAGAATCATGCATTTCACCAATTATTGGTATACAATGGTCGTTGGCATTCACTATGAGAAAAGGTCAACCAAGAAGTTATTCCGACCTTCGAGAAGGTCGGAATTTTATGTCAAACTTTGGCAGTCTTTCAGCCTGAAACTGTATTTTGAAAACGAGGCTACACTGGAAAAAAAACACATTGGATCGAGAGTCCAGACTCTTAAAAACATCGACAAGAAAAAACACTCTTGATTCAATCAGATTTAAGCTTAAATCAAGAACCAAGCCTCTTAATTTGAGCTTTTGAGCCTTTTGATCTAAGCTTAAATCTGATTGAATCAAGAGTATTTTTTCTTGTCAATGCTTTCAAGAGTCTGGACTATAGATCAAATGTGTTTTTTTTTTTCCAGTGTAGATTTTTACTGTTGAAATTTTGATAATTCTTCAGGACTAAGATTATCTTAATTCATCCGCAAGGTAGATTCATTTTTCTTTATCCGTTTAATGAAATTTTCAAATATTTCGATTGAAAAAGCACGCACCAGAATTAGGTATGGGATTTAATTACCACAGATATTGCATCGTTTTATTAGATATTTGTCCAATATTTCTCTGTAGTTTTTGAAGAATATTACTCAGAAATAAAGAAAAATCATAGCTAATTTTCAAGATGAAGTTCTCTTGGAGGAATATTACGTTCCTATTGGCAACGCTGGTCGCGTACCTACTTTGTACAAGTATTTACAAAACAAGGAATTCAAATTTGACACATGAGGAGTGGCTCAACGATTCTCTGAAAACTGAAACCAAAATTACATTCAATGAGGTTAGATGTTAGGACTGGTCACGGAAAGTATGAAGAATGCTTTCTTAGATTGAGAGTGGATTAACGCTGACTAGTACAGTTTTACACTATTTCAGCTGTCGGCGCCCTAATTCACGTTTTAGGAAAAAATCAAGTACTCTTGCTCAACAAGCTGCTCTAATATTCCGGTACTGAAGATGATACAGGCTGAAAAATAAAGATTTCAAGCATTAAAACAAGAAAATAGCGGTAAAAATTCCCTGAAAAACCTCTATCATTTAATTTGATCTGAAAACGTTGCCACATTGTTCAAAAAAAACCTTCCATTCCAGGCATGAATTGCGAACTGCTGCCCAGGTAACGGAAAAAAGGGAGGCATAAGGGGAAAACGATTGGATATTGATCGAAATATCGAAGGCTGAAGTGCAAAACCACGTATCTCCATTGCGGTATTTCAAAATTTTTGCTCCTCTTTTATTTTTTCGAAGAGAAACAAGTCAACTATATGTAGGTTATTGAAAATACAAAATATTCTGCTTACAGAGAAGAAACATTGAAGAAATTTTCGAGAAATGGACGTATTTCTGTCAAACGGAACTAAGCGCCAATTTCAGTTCCTTTTGAGGAATTTAGATTCCCGGACAGCACGTTCTGTGAAACGGAACCAAGCGCTATGGAAAAGCATTGCGAGTGTAGGAACGAATGAGCCCGACGCCGCGGTTCCGCCGCCAATCCAAGCCCCCCTCTACCTTCCTACCCCGATGGCGCTTAGTTCCGTTTGACAGAAATATGTCCAAATTACGTTGACTAGTTTTGCAGGGAAAAGAATAAAGTAAAACAGGAAGTCTGCAAAGATGCAGATGGAGATACGTGGTTTCGCACGTATTTATCGATATTTTTTCATGTAAAGCTCTGATAAAATATCGAATACCTATTTAAGTGTTCGTTGCGAACACCCTGTTCATCAATCTATTCCCACCGTGGCGTGGCGTGAATTGCGATGTATCGATTGTTATGCCATTTAAACCAATGGTAAAGAGTCGATTATTAAGGTGTTCGCTGCGAACACCCTGTTTATCGATCCTTTTCCATTTGTTTAAATGGCATAACAATCGATACATCGCAGTTCACGCCACGCCACTGCATTCCCATGGGTTGAAATGGCAGATCAATCGATTTTTTCCATAGCACGCCACGTTGCGCCACTGATCTTATGGGAATCCACTCCCCCGCAGCCAGTATGACGTCACATTAGCTGCTCCCATAAGAAATTCATTGCATTTAAATATTCCGTCACAATGCGGAGTAGAGTTTCAAAACTCGTCCAAGGGAATGCAGTCATTCCCTGTGTGGAATGGTCTCGATTTTGTTGAGTTTTTAAAATCCTCCTTGACGTATCTGTCAATTTTTCCAGGACGAGCAGATATCGAGCACATCGGGAAGAGTTACCAGTTTCTAGCAGAAGAACCCGCGCGGCAGGTCGGACAGGGAGCCGATGGAAGGACAGCCGAGGAGGAGGCGGGGTGGGAGGCACCCGACGTAGAGGACCCCTCGGTGCCCCTGGCGATGAGGCTCCTGGCCGAGGCTGAGAATGAAACCCCCCGAGGGCGGGCCATGAGGATCACCGGACAGGAGGATTTCACCCCCATCGCCAAGTCTCTCTCTCCGGACTCCGTCACCGTCGGTATGGGCCATTTCAGTTACTCATCATGACCATCGACGGGAAAAAAACCTTACTCCGAACTAGAGTACCCTCATAAGGAGCGTGGGACCACTGAGTCTCATGGAGACCAATGGTGGATGCAGGAGGGGAAGGACAATAAGGGCATGGTGGCATGCCCCCCCCCCTCCTAAAATGTCCAATATAAAAAAATCCATGAGTTAAAAATGTCCAAGTATCTAGAGTGCCCTATGGCGATGACATGGCCAAAATAAAAAATGCCCAAGTATCCGATTACTATGATTAATATTTCCATTTACCTGCGTTCGTATACATTCCATATACTTCCTCATCACTTTCGTCTTAGTGGCCCGTTGCTAACCCGAACATAATCGGCTATTCTCCTACAATATCGTGGAATATCGTCTTCATCTTTAAATTCTTGATACCGATGGATGCGCTTGAGGCTTCTGTTCTGATTTGTTCTTGACTTCTTTGAAATATGTTGCTCAATGCGCGTATGACCCGTATAATTTTGTCAGATGATGTCACATTTGGGCAAATTTGTTTTTTGGTCATATTATCGCTATTGGAAATCCCAGATATATTTGAACGTGCTTTAGACATGAACTTTTTTTGACTTTGGATATTTTTGTACTTTGGACATTTATCTTTGGGAATTTTGTCGTATTACCAATACTTTCATTGCTCTGTGCTCCTTGGGCAGTGCTACTTACACAAATGATGACCATTTTCAGGGACGTTCAGGAACCTGGCAGTGATAAACTTCACGGTGCCGAACGAGTACAGCCGGGCTCTGGGGAAGAACCGGACGGTGTGGTTCATCTTGACGCTGAAGAACATCACGCAGCACCCCCTGGTGACGGCCGTGCTCTCGGACAACCTCCACTACCGCGGCGACGTCTTCGTCAACTCGACGCGGGTCGACTGGAACAAGAACTTCCTCCTCTTCAACGTGACCAAGTTCGTCAAGTACTCCTACAGGAACCAGAGCCTCAGCTTCTCCCTGGTCACGCAGCCCGAAGGGGACAGCCGCATCACCGTCTCCGATGTCGTCGAGCTCCAGGGCAGCGAGAGGGGACCGCTTTTGGTGTCCACGGCCTTCCCGGAGCTATCAGGTATGAACTAAGTCGGGATTCCTGATGCGTAGGAATGAATGGATCAGTTGCGCTTGTCACAGGATCGTGTTTTGATGATTGGTTCTTATAGATGGACGTATTTCTATCAAACGGAACTAAGCGCCAATTTTAGTTCCGTTTGAGGAATTTAGAATCCCGGATAGCGCGTTCTGTCAAACGGACCTAAGCGCCATGGAAAAGCATTGCGAGTATAGGAACGAATGAGCCCGACGCCCGGTTCCGCCGCCAATCCAAGCCCCCCTCTACCTTCCTCACCCTATGGCGCTTAGGTCCGTTTGATAGAAATACGTCCAGATGTCCTAATAGTGCCGTGCGGATCTGTTAAGGAATGGGTCATATTCTAAACCAGGTATTGCTGGAGAAGGGAGTGCACAAATTTATGACTCGTAACGCCATTTGTCCAATACCAAATGAGTCAGTTGCGCTAGTCATAGGATTGTCATAGGATTTTAATGCTTGATTCTTTTAGATTGGCTAAAAATAATAAGATCAATCCAAACAGCAACTTTCTATTTTCAATATCAACCGAGATATCGCGCTTTGAAAAACTCGGTTTATGACGTCATTCACCGCTGTAGTGACACCCTGGTTTCTACCACCTTGTTTTACGTGAAACTCGGATGAAAGCAAGCTGGAAGAGACCAAGGGTGTCTCTTCTCTCTACTGCGTCATAACCGCGTCATAAACCGAATTTTTCAAAGCGCAATATCTCGGTTAATATTGAACGTAGAAAGTTGCTGTTTGGATGGATCTAATTATTTTTAACTAATCCGCAAGAATCAAGCATCAAAATATGTTTCTATGACCAGCGCAACTGACCCGTTTATAGACAGGGCAAGAGTGGGTCTCTTTAATGCCGCAGGTATTTGCGATTGACGTACTTTTTCTTGTGTAAAATTTGCCAGGAACCCAAGAAGATCAGTTCGAATAAATTGCAATTACATGATGCAATTGGCATTCATTTTGCAATTGCTGCGATCTCTGGCTCGGCTTAGAAAATGGAACGTATGTGCCATTTGTTTTCCTATATGCACTTGTTCATTTAACTAGTTAACTTTAGTTTATTACTGAACTAAAGTTAGTTAAGTTTATTACTTAACTTAAGTTAGTTAACTTAAGTTTATTTTATGGATGAGCCAGGAATTGTAGCTCCTAATTGCAAGAAGTTCAATTATTGCTATGCATGGAAATGTTGTGCATGCTGCCTATCGCCAGATTGAAGGGACGTTTCTCTCAGAAATTGTTTGCAATAACATTGAAATAAAAAGTCATTTTTCTTCGCATTTCGAATTGCCCATCTTTCTCACAGATGAAAATCGTCTTATTGATAGTTCAAAATTGGCATTCATTTACAAATGCCAGATTTTCCTATTTGCCAGCGACACATTGTTCCTCTTCCCAAAAAAAAAAAAAAAAAAAATGAAATAGGAGCAAACATTTTGAAACACCGCGATGGAGATACGTGTTTCCTCACTTTGGTCATCAATATCATCTTATTACTGAGTTCATTGACTCCATATTCTTATGCATTTCAGCGATTGACATGCCCGGGGCCCTGCGCAGCAAGAGCAGGAGGAGACGAAGCTTGGAGGCCGGCGAGGTGACGTCATCATCTTCCACTCGGGGGACGACAACGACGGCGACCCCCGTGACGTCATCATCATCGCCATCGTGCAATTGCAGGCTCCAAGAATGGGCGCCCAGCAAGGAGGAACTCGGCTGGTCGTGGCTCATCCGACCGGAGTTCGTTCCGATCAACTACTGCATCGGGGACTGCCCCGTGCCCCTCCTCAACAGTACTTACAACGCCTCGTCCAATGCCATAGCTAGAGATTACTATCGGTGAGTCGAATTTTTGAGTTTGGAGGTGAGCTGTGACGTCATGATTAAGACAGCAGCTGACTGGATGTGGTAAGAGTTGAGTCCGGTGGAACAACGCGTCCAAATCCGGCAAACGGCGCTGTGAGAAAAAACCAGCGTTGAAAAATTCAGTCTAGTGTAAAATGCACATAGGTCATGATACAGTGTTTATCACGTGGTGACATAAAGCTACCTAAGCCCTAGAGGATAATTCGTTTTAATTGAAATGACATTGGTATTCGTTGGAATCGTGAAATATTAGAAGTACGCACTGAAAAAAAACTCCGGCCGTGGGAGCCGCAATTACGGGCTATATAGACATACCGTCCGTTCCGGGCTCAAAGGCCGAAAATTCCGGCTGCTAGAGGCGTAGCTTCGATTGCTCCGGGTTCAGAGGCCGAAGCTACGGCTCCAGCAGCCGGAATTTTCGGCCTTTGAGCCCGGAACGGACTGTATGTCTATAAAGCCCGTAATTGCGGCTCCCACGGCCGAAGTTTTTTTTTTTTCAGTGCGGACGGTCTATTTTGGTCTATAGAGAGTTTGTCTGGGTGTAAAGGTGGACTCTCAGGATAGCGTGGGATATCCCCTCCATTTTGGCTTCAACTTGAGAGCTTTTCTTGAGCTTGGGTGTTGATTTCAGAGAAAACTAGTGGTACCATCGTGTCTATCGCGAACTTTTACATGAGAATCAACGGTCAAATCGCAAATTCCTCACACATGCAACATCTTCATTAGATCCCAGCTTTATTAAATCTGAAAACTTTCTGTTTGGTTTGTGCGCAGGACGATTATCAAGGCCCGTGACCCAAAGCTAGACCATCCGGACATCCATTGTGTGCCAATTGCCTATCGACCAGTGGCCGTTCTCATCGAATCAGCCCCGGGCATCATCTCCATGGAGCGAGTTTCAACTTTGGCCGTGTCCCAGTGCGGATGTAGATGAAAGCCATCCACCATCGCTCCACGAACCACATAAATTTTGCGCCATTCTGCACGGTATCTCGAACAACCTAAACACACGGAAAAAAATGGATTGCTGATTTATTAAAATATATGTCCGACATGTTTCAAATGTACATTTTATAATAGTGGAAAGCTAATTGAACCACGGAGGTGGTTACGTTGGCATATTTTTATTGTAAAATCTACATTGAGGCATGTCGGACACTTTTTTTAACTACAAAATTGTTTAATCAGCAATTTCATTCTTTCTGTGCAAACTTGTTGCGACTCTTGCAAGCTAGCGACACTTAATTTCAGGAAAATAAGTTGATGAGTTTAACCATCATTCTCGATAATTTTCGTGCAAACCAACAAATATGATAAAACGAACAATTCTTTTGGAATAGCCTACCAGCTTGGATTTAGAAGTAGTGTAAATGTTGTGATTGTAAAAATAAGATAGTTTATCCTACCAATTTTGTCGGTTGGCTATAAGGAGGCGGTATCGATAAGGGCCGTTTTGAGCCCACCATAGCAGAATTTCCTCAATTCTACAATGTTTTGCTCATTGAGGATTTATACTTTACGGAATGCATTATAGCTTGATCATTTTCGGTCTCTTTTTAGGTCTAAGACTGATTTAGATAAGGGTCTGAGGGCCGATTTTGGTTAAAAATGCGGATTTTTCGGCATTTGAACGTAAATTTGCAAGAATCACATTTTCCGCCAACGTAGGTCTTACGACCCATGTTTGGGCCAGTTTAGACCCAGTAAAAGATAAAAAATGACCAAATTACGATGCATCCTGTAAAAAGTAGACTTTCAATGAGGAAAAAAACGTAGAGTTGAGGAAACGCAGGGTTGGCCTAAAAATGACCATTTTCGACAGTCAAGAAGCAAAGACAAAAAGAGAATATTGGTATCTTGGCAATGGTGGAAGCTTTTACCTCCGTGATTCCAACATCGGATTGTTGACCTACCTACCAGGTGGATGTTGAGCATTATATTCAGCAAAAAGCCATAATTTGGTAAACTTGTTTGACACATTACGTCACCCGCGAAGCTCGTAGGTTGTCAATTGTCAGCGTGAGGATGATGACTGTTGCTAACTAGTAATTGCCTGTAAGGAAAGTTGAATCCCGGAAAGTAAAAGTTTCCAACTGTTACCAAGAGCTAATAGCGGAAGGTATCTCCTTGACCCTGTCAAAAAGATAGTTAGGCTACTAAACATTGTTCTCTTGTTTAATGGACCACTAAAAAGGGTAGAATTCCAAAAAGATCGTCTTTAGACACACCATGGAACTATTAGCTCAGGATACCTGCCGCGATTCGTCTGCAAGAATTTGTAATTAAAACTGTCCACAGACTTTTAACATCGATGAAAATGCAGGGTACAATTCAAATTGTTCACTCAAATATTCCTTCGTTGACAAAATATGTCTCTTTTGAAAGAGAGAGAATAAAATCGAGACAACTCTATGAAGTCTCTGGATTTGACTGTGGCTTTTCTACGGATTAAACCAAAATTACCATAATTCTGATATTTACCAATTACCATATTTCTGAAATTGAAATTTAAAAATTCATGTCCAAAATTTTCAGTAGACTTGGGAAGATCCTCGATCTCTGATTAGATCAAGGATGATTAACCAGGAAACGACTGGTTTTAGTTTTAGTTTTCCATACAAATGTTTATTTTTTCCTACCTGAAATCAGTTGAACTATATTATATTTCTTAGTGTTTTTATTGATTAATATGTACATATCAAATAGTTATAATAAAGCCATACTTGTAAATTTTAATGCTCTGTTTCATAAGGTTTATTTTGAGTTTTTATAACAGTACCGTATTGCCCTCAGGAGCGGAATGAATGGACATAGAAATCGGGTGTTGACATTTTGACGAAAAACTTTTTAGTGTCCTAAAATCAAGTGAGAGTCGTTTTGTTTATTTTTGTGCCCATATGTGGAGTGTTGGGCTTTGCGATAAATCGAAAGATCTTCTTTTCAAACCGATGGAAAAGGATCAATATCGCCATTTCATCTCATTACTCGTAACAGTGGGTCCTAACGTTTTAGGGAGGATGTTAATAACTACATCTTGAGTCTAGGTCCTAGACTCTAGGATAGGAGACACTGACAGGAAACTTTAAAAGCATTCAACGCCTTCAATTCAGTGAATACACTAAACACAATGATTCACAAGTTAGAGATGTTGCTCGCACTAAAAATGAAGGCGCTCGGTAAGTGTTGTAAGAATGGAGAGCACTAAATGTCATGCTCCGGTCCGGTACTATACGTTCTTGTTTCACTTGCCCAGCGCCTTCATTTTTAGTGCGGGCAACATGTTTTACTTGTGAATAATCGAGTTTGGCGTATTTACTGGATCGAAGGCGTTCAATATTTTCAACATTTCCTGTTGATATTTCTCCTTCTATTCAAAATGTAAAGTTATTAACATCCACCCAACGACGTAAGGACATAATGTTACGAGTGATAGGTTGAAATAACTTTTATCTAAGACTAAACATCTCCGGCAAACGGGCTGACAAAAATCCCGCAACTTTAGCTTCTACACTACGTTCCACGTTTAGATGTCTTAAAATGTTGATTTATTTTTTCAATTAGGAAAACCTTAGAACTTAATCATTTAAATGAGGGTTGGTTATTTTCTTTACAATCCGACCCAGATACATTGAATCTAATCCAATATCCAGTATAAAGCAATTAATTCCATTGATTTTTCCAATGCTTTTCATTATTTTTCCACAGAAAAGTAACACACCTAGCGTTTTCAAATCCTATGATTTCTAAACGATCCGTCTATTGTAATTTGCTCTCTGCGTTATTTTTTAAAATTTTTATTACGTCCTGAACGTCGACAGCCGCCGGCTACGACTTATCCCGGAGTTTCAACGCAAAGGTCAGTCAAACTTGGGTCTCACTACAACCAACTCATTATTTAGAAAAAGCGGACTGCTGAAATTTAAAAATAAAATTCGAAAATGCTAGTTTGGAAAGTAGGAATTCTCAAAAAAAAGAGGAGGATGTTAAGTTAAGGATGGCTAGACGCAGTTATTCAGGGAAGGTCCAAACTAGTAAAACAAGAGAGACGGGAGAGGGGGGATCCATTTTCAGGGTGAAATTACAAATGAACGACCCCTATGCTGGAATTTCGTATCCTCAATTGAGCCGTTACGAAGATTCGCGGTATTTGTTTAGGTTGATTGTCATCGCCGTGGGAAAACAACGCTCACTACCGATAACGGAACAAAGAAGAGGAACAGAAAAACGCCGTGTTGATGGGAAATAGCGTAACCACATGGAGTGACCACAGTACCATATCGCCGTGCTTTGCGACGAATCGATTGACTACCATCTAAACCTGTGGAAAAGGGTCGATTATCAATCTTCACTGGTCGATTGTTTCCATAGCTTTAGATGGGAAAATATTGACGGCCGATGATCCATGCTTCGTCGCTGGGTCACCATCGGATTTACGCGGTTTTTGCGGGCCCCGGCGCACAGTAGGGTGAGACGATTGGAACGGTTGGACGGGACAATTTTGACTGAAATAATTGCAAATTTTGATATTTATTTCGATACAATGGATCACTGAACACCGTGCTTTGAGAATAGGAGAATGTCTTTTCTCATCAAAAATTCGCGAGGGAGACGATTTGTCCGCGCAATTAAAATTGCTAAGAAGTAACTATACCCAACAAAAGTGTATGCATGATGCATAAGTTCGAACATTTAATAAAACTTCCCATTCATAAAGAAAAACCATATTCTACCTGAGTTAAGTCGTAAACTAAGCGTTGCCGAAACAATTATTGCAGTATGAAAATATGACTACCTCAATATCTCCGCTTCGGCTTAACTATTGCACGTTACTTATTACACTTTAAACAACTTAGGGTGGAGGGGCAACGCTGCTTATCGAGAAGCCAAAACCGCTGTAGTGCGCGATTTGATTTAAATAGACTCTGGGTTTTCTTGTGAGCGGGAAATTCAGATTTTATGTAATCAATGTTGCATAAAAATGGTAATTTCTTGATTAGAAGTTAACTTTTGTTATTTTCGTTACACAAATCGTGAATTTGAAAATTACGCAAATATTGACGGCTAAGGTACAAAATCAATCTTCTCCGTTTGCGACGTTGGAGAGTTCCTGTCATACTTTACTTTTTTTTTATAGAACTATTGCATGTACTTTCTTGAAAATTTCCTTGATTTTCTCTTCCCTGTGGACAGATGACTCTGAATACAATTCAAGCTATAGAACTGGGTTGTCTCACTTTGAAGTGGACGTATTTCTATCAAACGGAACTATGTGCATTAAGACATGAGCCCTGAGACCCATAAGAATATGTGCATAACAGGGCTTACGTCATAATGCCCACAGTACCGTTTGATAGAAATACGTCCACGTAATAAAATAGTAGCGGGGATTTTGTAACACTGCAAAGGCGATACGCGGTTTTGCACTTTGGCCATCGATACGTCAGAAAACTTAAATTGTACCTTGTCTTCTGCCGTGCTAACGAAAAACGCCGCTTCAGGCGTTGCCAAATTTCCTTTGATTAAACACGAATTTCCCAGTAAACTTACGAATATGTTCCTGCCAATTTTTCAGATAATTTTGTTCGCAATTTCACCTGAAGTCCCTGAAAGTTTTTAGGAAAAATATTCATACCTTTCCCCAAAAATAAACATTCTATTGAAGGAAATTTGGCAACTCTGAATGTTCATACGGCGTTCTTCCTTAGCACGGCAGTCTTGCAGTCCATTTTAAGGGGTGCCTTTAAAATGATATCTTACGAACAAACCGATGGAACGACTTAAAAACTTTTAGGTTTCGTTTTGAAGATGTAAGCCTTTAAACTTTCCAAATTTGATCCAATTTCTCCAAAAGATTTGATATTTGTGCGCCGCAGGAGAGTAGCCCTACAGGGAGATAAGAGGTCCGAGTGCGACGCACAGTAGCGTGGCGGTGACCTGTGCCCTTTGACAATCATCTGATTACGGGCGACTGCCCCGGCGGCGTTTGATCAGTTTTGCCGAGTCGGCCCGACCGTGCCCGTCTGTGTCTCGCGCCCGTGGATATCGCCGATTCGCACGCACCACGACACCGCGGATTCTACCATAAACAGGTAACACGAAAGATTCACCATTCAGCCGACTTTGCGAAATTTCCGCGCCAAGAACGGCGTTGGGGTGGCATTTCAGACAAAGATGGCAATAGTCGTAAATGGAGAGGAGACTTTGCTTGAATGGAGGGGGGGAGGATTTTAAAAATCTCAAACAATGCCCCAAAATCAAACAAAATGTATCGAAACTGTGGAATACTCCCCTTGAAGAGGTAACAACAATTTTTCACAACTCAGCGAATTTTGCGAAAATTGCGCGCAAAAAATTGTGACGGTGAATGGCATTTCAGGCAAATTTTCGAAAAAGGGATGGCAAAAGTTGTACGGAGAGGGCACTTTACTTGGAAGGGGGAGAGACTTCTAAACATCTCAATATATACCCTTAAATCTATCAAAATTGCGGATTTCTTCCGTGAACAGGTAACGCTGTTTCATCATTCAGCAAACCTTGCACAAATTACGGTGTAAGGGTGGCTTTCAGTCAAATTTTATGAACAAGGGGGCGAAAATTATCGAGCAAAGATAAATTTTACTCAGAACAGGAGGAGGCTGCTACAAATCAATAAAAATGCGCTGGAACCTATGATAATTGGCCAAAATTGTCGAATTACTCCGTGCTCAGGTACACAAGTCGTACTCCGAAACAACACAGATTCACCATTCAGCTTACTCCGCGAAAACTGCGAGCTAGAAACGGTGTAGAGATGTTACCTCAGAAAAATTTTAGGGATGCAGCAGAAGTTGCAGAGAGGAGACTCAATTTTCTAGGGGTGGCTTTCTGTAATTCTCAAAAATGCCTAAATTTGACGAATATTGCAGATTTCCTCCATCAACAAAGAACATGGCAGATTCGAACTCTCCCAAAATTTCGCGCGAAAATGGGACAAGGTGCGCTATTTTAGAGACATTTTTCGGAAGGGGTTGGCAAAATCGACCAGTGGTAGCGGATGTACCACCTCAAGTACGATACGATGATAGGTTTTATCTACCATGTTGCCACATTCAGCACATACTATAAAATTTTCCACTGTGGTATCATCAGTCTGTAATGCACACCCTGCATCGGTTGCTTCACGCGAGTGCATAGTGACGAAATTAAGGGGGCATAAACTATCGTATCCACTACTATGGCAGATGTGAGTTCTAGGTAATTAATAATTGTTTTCGAATGCTAACGGAGCACAGTGAATCGGACCAGTGGGAGAGGCTACTGGGCATGATTTTCTTGCTAAAACTGCAAAATTTTAATATTTTGCTTTTCGCATTAAGGAGTGCTCCTTGAAATAACTTTAACCTGGAAAACATTGGAGCCACTTTTAAACTTCAACGTTTTGTACAAGTAACGAGAATATAAGTTCCTAAATTTTCCAATCTAAGTTTTACGTCTCTGATTGACTCGCTTCACTATGCACAGGATCAAATTAGACATATTCAATCAGAATACGCGTAACTACATTAGACGTTGCCTGATTTCTGCTTATGATTCGCTTAACAAGTAGAAAATAATTATTTGGACGCAAGAAACTCGATAACAAACGCAACATCGGCTACAAATTAAAAATTCAAAAAAAGTTTTGAATTTAGATTTTTACTTTGTGTTACGTTTGTTTTCGTTTTTCTTTCGAACTAACACTTTTTCTGTTTCTATTT